TGGAGGAGAGACTTTTCCAGCACACGGAGCCACCCCTGACCCAGGGTGAGCTCTGGCACTCTGCTGCCTTTAAACACAGCCAGTGCCTTCCCCATGGCCAGTCCCAGCCACTTCCACACCCCAGTGTGACAACGCAGTGACAGTGCCAGCCCCTCCTCAGGGGACAACCAACGGCTCCTGACCCCAGGCAAAAGCTCCAGGGCTGAGATGGGGAAGGTGACTCAGGACAGCACAAAGGTTCTTGTCCCAGTCCATGGCGATGTTTTCCCTTCTCTCTCGGGTGGAAAAACAGCAAAAACCTCCTCACTTTCCTCTAACATGCTCCTCTAACCCTGCTCCTAAAAATTCAGGAGGAAGGTTCCTCGCTGTTCCCGCTGGAATTAGGCTGGGGATGGACAGGGCAGGTCCCCCCTTGTCACACTTTCCATCCTTTCCACCCTGAGACTCAAGCAGGAGGAGAAGCCTCCACCAGCACGAATCTCTGGGGGGTTTAACACAAACCCAAGGGCTGCACACACTCCTCCCTCCTGCCTTTATTATTGTGATTTTATCAACACCATCACAAGCCATTAATCCTGCGCCAGAACCTCTCACAACACCCAGAGCAGGTCAGCTGTACCTGCTGCATTCTTTTTAAATTAATCCACTGAGGGAACTCTGTTCCTGAATCACTTAATCGCAGCACTGTCACACCAGGCTGGCAAGCATATTTTCCCTTCATTAGATTGAATATATAATCTCATTTCAGGACTCTGACACGCTGACTAAGCCACAAATCAGCTGGAGGAGGCTCTGCTCTGAGGGGATGCGCTCGGTGGTGGCCAGAGGGATCAGCTGAGACCTCCAGTGCTGCTCCTGCCCATTCCTGTGTGGTCATTCCCACCGCAGCCAGGGAGGAGAATGCTGGATTTGTCTTTCCAAACAATCTGTGGGTCTGCTGTAGATAAAACCAGCACTGAGAGATAAAAGAAACAATGGGGAGGATTCCACTGATTGGTGAATGGAAGAAGATATTTGCTTTTACAAATA